GAGCAGATGTATAAAAACAGCTTTTATCCATTAAGCAATCATATTTATAATGAATCAATTGGTCTGTCTGGTTTTATTTTTATTTTTTGGCAAATATTGAAAGTTAATTAATTTCATTAAAGTCTAACATATTAATTGGGGCCTAATTTATAGGTTTTATTTGTGTTTGACAAACACAAAATGTATTTGTTTGCAGACATTCAAGCTCATATGGAATATTCCATCAATAAAAAAATATAACTCAGTATAACTCATCTCAATATAAGCAAAACTGTTAATACCATATTTACACACTGCAAAAAGTCACTACACCTTATTTATATGGGTCTAAACTGGCAATAAGGTCATGCAGGACAGGGTATCTGTATGTCTGACTCTACATCTTTTTCCTTGTCTGCCTCTCTGTCTGTCTGACCTGGTGCTTTTCTGTCTCGCTTTAGCTGCCTGCCTTACTGACTCTATACTCTCTATACTGTCTTTATATGTCTGTCTCTCTGACTGCCTTGTCTTTCTGCCTGTCTGTCTGTCAATCTCCTCTCTCCCATCTCCTATATCTCCATCAGGATGGGACTAAAATATCTTAGGAGCTCCAGCCTGTCTGAAACTGAGACCTGGAATGTACTACTGCAGAGTTCAACACACGTACACGTACACACACACACACACACACACACACAGTTGTACACCTTAACAGGCCGACAGGTGCACTTTCACACTGACAATATGCATATGAGCACAAGACATTTACATGCACACACCTATACTCAACATCATATACACTTGCACACATACAAAAAAGCCCCCTCTCAGACCACTCACACACACTCTCTCTTTCTCTCTCATTCTCTCTATCTCTCTCTCTTTATCTCACTCTCTCTCTCTCTCACACACACACACACACTCACACACACCAATTCACAGTGATGGTACAGTACTGATGGTTAGCCTATGGTCTATGTCTAGAGGAGACAGTGCCCCCTGGTGTGGGCCAAACAGTACTCCCAGTCAGCCATATCTTGACCTAATCTATATTGAGAGTACTCATTTACTCTTCTGGGATTGATTCGTCCTGCCTGAAACAGAGAAACCACCTACATCTTCCTAAAAAAATCAAACCACTTCCTGGATGGCAGACAGACTGTAAAGATAATTGGGGATGCAATAAATGTCTGGCATATTTCCAGATACATGTAGAACTAAAAGCAGGACTTTTGACACTACAGTAAATATTCAGTTATATAACCATGCAGATCCAGACGTATTTGACACATTCATTGGATAGTTTTCTGTGATGTTGGTATAAGGTACATCAGTGTACTCAACTGATATTGAGTACTGAGAATATGGTTCGACTTACTGATTCTAATGCAAACTGGTCAAGCTTTAGACATTAACATTTAATTGGATTTGCTCTTATACATACTTGTTTAAAAAATGTATACAGCAATTCAGTTCCCTTTAATGTCAACTGTACTAGCCATGTATTATGACTGATGTGATCGTTTTATAGGTCCATGTGTTTCAACATATAATCATACATAATGAAAAACTATCACATGTAACACAACACATTTTTAAAGCTTTTATAGGCATACATACAGTTCGTTTTTTGTGACACTCATCCATGTATTCAAAAAATAAGAATGGCATGAGAATGTGTAAACAAAATTGAACACAAGAATAAAATCTGATTTTATTATATTTTGTATTTAATTGGTGGGTGCTTAGTGTGTTTATGTAACAATTACTGCATTTACTGACAAGGTGTTTATGATAACAACACACTTAATACATAAACCATAATAGGCCTATGTTGTGATAACAGTATGTTCTATTAGACGTCATGTAATAGTCATAACACTGTCATGTCTCCTCTCAAAGTAGCTTAAATTGAAAAATTGCCCCCATTATGGCTGTAATTAAGTCAAGACTTGAATATAGGGCATTATTAGATATTGTGTATTAATTAACAAAACTGCAATGCATAAAGATTACTATTAGCCCTTTTTGTACATTATAATGTATGCATGTATTTAGCTTATTTAAATAAACTAGTTATCCCTGCTAACATGCAAACTGTATTGCACCTATTTAAATTGTGCTGTTGCTGTTTACAACACTGCCAGACCACGCCGCAGTGGAGGAACAAGCACCTGATAGATGAATACGTTTCATTTGGATGAATACTGATGAGGAAGACTGCTAGGTCCACTCTTCTTCCCAACAGTTGCCACCTTGACTGCCCGTTCCAAAACCACTGTCACAGTTTCAGGTTTCCACCATGCTGTGCTGTATCGCTTGTCTCCAACAGAGGTCATAATGCCTGTAATCACAATAATAAAAGACAAGGCTATGCCCTGTTTTGCATGGAGAAAAAGCGCACACAAACATACACCACAGCCTAGACAGGTGAGTGCCCAAACACACTGGTAGAGCGCATGGGCAAATACTGTCAAAACTCACCTAAAACGATTGCGCGCACACAAACAGTGTTGGTGGTTACCTTGGTGTCTGTATTAGAGGAGAGACTGCCCTTCATAAAAGCGACAATCACCACCACCAACAGCTTTGTTATTGCTGGTGAATGTAATTGTAATAAAAAGGGATGAGCGTATTTTTGAGATGCGCTAAGTGGTGGAAATTAAGGAGCAGGGTAAACCTCCCGCAGGCTAGAGCGCGCACTGCCTGAGGAGCGCGCACACGTATCGGTGCTCGCATACATTCATGGATGTGTCCACGTTTGATAGCTGGACTGACGAAATAACCAGCTGCAAGTGGAGAGCACTGGCCATTTTATACTCTCTCTCCCACTCTCTCTCTCCCTCTCCTCCTCCCCCTCTCCTCCTCTCCTCCCTCCTCCTCTTCCCCCACTCCACGTCCCTTTCCCCCCTCCTTCTCCTCATCTCCTCTCTCCTCCTTCTCTCCTCCTCTCCCATGCACAATTGGTCTTAAGCATGGAGATAGCGCAACGCCCCCAAGTTTTGGCATCAGACAGACGCTGTGTTGCCACAACGATTCAACAACCTGACCTACAAAATACATCCACAATAAATACCACTCAATGTGCAACAAATAAACACTGGAGAACACAACCAGGTGAACTAATTTTCCCATACCTTGTCTTCTTTCTTCAAGCCAAAGGTCTCTTTATGTAGGCTAATTCCATAATTCACACCAAAATCAAACCAAAAAAATATAAAAACTCACTCCTAACACAAAACCAATTCATCGCTAGCAAATTGGGCGGTCTAATGAACCATCAATTGAAATGAGAACAATTAAAACAAATGATCACCATTTTAAACCTTCCTATTACACATCCCCACCTTGTGGGTGGTGATGAACCACACCTTGACACACAATAGATGCGGCTGGCGCAGCCTGAATACCCATTACACTTCTTGCCACCCTAGCCAACCAGTATGTTACATTATTCACCCTCATTCCCATCCCTTGCCAGTAAGCTCCTCTGCGTATTCCAACCTACAAAACCCCAGAGTTATCAACAATTCCCTACAACCCACTCTTGACCAGACCCTCCACTATTCTTTCCCTGATAAGTGCTCCGGAGTCTTGGTTTTGTCTTCCGCGAGGACTCCATTCATGAGGCAAGAAAGGGGTGCGGGTGTGGAATTTCACCGATAGCCGGAAGTGAACAGCCCTCCCCAACCCTCATTCCCAACTCCGTCTGTCGCTTCCTGAAACCCTCCACCTCCGGCTCCTTCCCCTCTCCCACTACTCCCTCCACCTTCATAGTTGCTGCTGTACTACCAATACCACCCCTCGCACGCTAGGGGATCAACGACGCCAATGCCTACATCTCGCCCCCCCCCACCCTCTATTGTCAAGGGCACCCTTAACCCCAGCATCCTTTCGGTCGGTTCTTTCTCCCAGCTCAAGCCCGGGCTGCTGGGAGGGAGGCCCACCCGCTGTCTTCCTTTTTCTTCCCTTATTGCTTTCCCATCACTGTCTGGATTGAACTGTCTCTGCCCACGGCATGATCTATCTCGCAGCCATCTGATGACTCTGCTTTTTACTTTATCCTCTTGGCCCTGTTTGCTCTGCCCCGACGCCCCTGCGCGTCTTTTCTCTCCTCCCTCTTTCCTGGAATCGGCCAACCTACCTCTCCGCCGCTCACCCCAATGTCCTACTCCTCAGGGTTTACCTCTTCTAACCCCCAGCCGGGCCCTCTGGCTCTTTTCCATTCTTGTCCGCCTCCTTACGCGGCGCCTCGGCCTCTGGCTGCTCGCGCCGAATGAACGACTCTGGCGAGGCTCCGTCCTCCCTCTGGCTCAGCCCTTTCAGCCTCCCCTCAACCCACCCCGGGATCGCCAGAATCTT